AATTAACCATCTCAGTGACTAACAGGAAGAAATACATTCACACCACATTCAATGCATACGTATGTTGTAGAGATGGTCTTTTGAAACATCATCCTAGAATATGTCTTCAGAATGTTCTGTTATCCCATTGCAAAGGTCCTGTGGACAACTGAAGAGCTTTCCAAACCCCAGCATGACTTTGTGTTGCCTCAGCCCAGACCTGACTTGTATCTGCTCATGCCTCAGTTTCCTTATTTATAAAGGAGGCAGACTTATAAATACTTCTTCTACCTAACAGTGAACAATAAATCCAGAACAAGGTAATGTATATGAAAACATTTTGTAAACTCTAAAGTAATTTCGTGAAGTAATTGCTATTTTAAACTAGTCTGTAATAACTTTCCTCTCTTCTACTCAGGAATCTGAGAGGAGGGTGCTATTTCATGAAAATTAGTTTGAGCTCTTCAACACTTGCCACATAAAACAAAGACAGCCCCAATTTCTTTAATCAAAATGATGATCAGCTTCTAAAAATGAGTCCCATCTCCCCTGAGATCATTCAGAATTAAAATCTGATTTCAAAGAAGGGAAATGTGCAGTGTGTTTGGGTTTGATCCAGAGCCTTTTTGTTCCCCAGCTTTCTACTCATTACCCATTCTGCTGGTTCAGTGAGGTCTTTGGGGTGATCTTGGGGTGACCCAGTCACATCACTTGCCTTTAAGAATCAGAGTTGGGATGAATGCTCCCTCCAATACTTTGAAAAGCAGCTAATTGATGACCGAGAGAGAAATGATGTGGGTAGGACGTGCCACTGGGGGCAGGGGTTCCTAGGTTGGGTCACCACTTATCAGGACAGATGTCCTGGAATGGAGCCACCCTGGAGACAGAGCAGCCTCAGGCAGTCCTAGGGAGCAGGGGACTGGCAGCTCTGCCCACTTGTGGGTCTGGAGCTTGGGGGGTGCCCTGTGTTTGGGTCACCCCTGCAGTGGTGGTGCCCAGCAGGGTCTCCGGTGAGGCAAGCCAGAGCCCGCACCCTTGCTTGTTCCTTCTCTCTTCCACTTCCCTGTTACTTGTTTTCTAATCAGTCCTTTCGTGGTGTGTAAAAAGGGAGGCTGGTTATTCCCATCATATGTTATTGTTTTCTGTGGGTTCCCCTCTCTCCAGGCACAGTAATTTCACTATCCCTAGATGAGGGTGATAAGTGTTTGAGATGCATAACTGTGTCCCATTTCAGTGTCTAATAGAAGATGGAGAGAGAGCCCTGGCACCTTTCTGCTCAGTAAATTCATAATTACAGGCTTCCTTGCCTCGCTTCTCGCAAACTAGAGAACTGTTGATTGGCGTGTGGGCCCATGAGTGTGTACAGTAAGGCAGGGGGTGTGGCAGGCACACTTCCCTGGTTCCTGGCAGGTTCCAATATGGGAACTGCTGAAAGTTCCCTCCAGAGAGTTGGTGGCTGAGTCCTGACTGGCACCTGCCTGTCTGGAGTGAGGATTACCAGCCTTGCTGGAATTTCATTGTTGCCAGTAATGTTCTGAGAGCTGTGTTATCTGGGCATATGGTACCCAAGACAAAGGCCAGGGAGCAGGTGCTGAGGTGGGTTCAGACAAAGCTGGAAGACAGGCTGCAGGTGGTAGAAAGAGCACTGGGCTGGGAGTCTGGAGACCTGAGCTCAATGCCATCCCCACCTTCAACTCACTACGTGACCTTCTACAAATCACCTCACCTCTCTGGATCGCAGCTTCCTTGTCTTTAAAATCGGGGATCGGAAATCATTAAACTGGATTATCTCTTTCAGATGAAAAGCTTCTAGATTCTTCTCTGATGTTTGGATTTGCACAGGCAGTTCAAGATGAACCATCCTGAGTCCTCATCACTCTAACTGAGATGGTGCCATCACATACTATCTCGTTATCATAATCCTAACCCTTTTCATCTCATTTCGTCTTGTCGACAAGAAGAACAACTATCATTTAATAAGTAAAATACCGTGTGCCAGGCCAAAGGCCCTGTGCCAGGCACTTTCTGTCATTATCACTTTTTAGAGGTGAATAGTGGTGCCCGCCTGATGGATGTTATCTGCCAGGTTATGCCCTGTGGGTCCCAGGGGCTAGGCTTCCTCCTACAGAGCAGGTGGGGAGGTGTTCCTGGGTGATGTCCTGGGGCTTTTCTGTCTAGGGACTTACATGGATTAGAAAGGGCTTCCAAGTGTTCTATATTCTGAACTCTGGAATTGTGTGTCTCTAGGAACAGTATGGGTTTTGTAGGGGTGCAAACCTGGGTTTCAGCCCCAACTCTGCCATTTATTAGCCCCATGCTCTTGCAGACCCTAAGTTTCCTCATCTGAAAAGCAGATGGAACAACCCCAAGCAGAGCAGACAGCTGTACTGATTGGGTGAGGTAGTCAGTGTGCAAGCATGTGCATGGGGCCCGGGTGCGGCATATGACCCACACATACTGACATTCCTCCTGGCTTCCAGCCCCTCTCTCTGCCGGTCAGAAAGTAAGTCTTGAGTTTCCGCTGGACGTCGGGCATGAGCCCGGCACTCTGGACTCACCAGTGAACTCGGTGGGCCTCCTTGCCCCCACGGAGCCCACAGCCCTCAACCCCAAAGTCAAGTCCTTCTGCAGAGGCTAAATTGAAGCATGGGCGCCTTCTCTGGGAGCATGTGCTCTCTTCCTTTAAGTTTCTCTCCTCAATGCCACGAAGTTTTATCTCCCCCTCGCAGGGATGTCCTGACAAGGCTTGGGGCTCCTCTTTTAGCCCTGTCTCCTACCTGACCCTGTTCTCCAGACAAACATTCCCTGGTGAATATGCCATTTGATATGTTCAGACTTTTGCTACACTGACCCCTCCCCTTCTCTTCTGGCCCCACGTGTCCTCCCTTAGTTCATGGCCAGGCCCAGATGCCATCCCACAGCCTTGTCCTTGCTCTCTTACCCTAAGGTAGAAGTCAGCGTTCCTCATGGGAGCTGCCGTCACATAACCTTTCACTATCTGAATAAGTTAGATTCTGGTGGCATCTACTGGGACCTGACCCCAGCCTCAGCTGTCCTTGGGTCCTGCAGCATTTTGCAAATTCTGTGTGTGCCCTGAGCAGACATTTCCCACATGGGGGTGTGAATGAAGGTACTGGACTCACAGGACTGTTCTGGGCTGTGGGTGTGCAAACCATTCTCCTCTCTGATGTTCACTCGAGAAGACGTGTGGCTTTGGTTGGGATCTTAGCTGACGACGTCATGTCTTTGCTTTCTTCTTTCTTCTCTTGGTCTTTGTGTAACCTCGCACTCTCCCTGTGGGGTGTTCTCTTGCTTCCTCGTCTACCTCTTCCCACTGCTCCATTATTGAGGATTTGGGTGAGAGAAATTCCACAAAGCTGAGATGCCCCCAAGTAAGATGCAGGCCATTCCTGCCCTGCTTTCTCTCAAACTGGAAGAAATATGAAGCCGTCCTCTTGAATAGAAATGAATAAGACCATTAGGACCAAGAGCTATTTTGTTCCATGGGGAGTTATTTATTTATTTATTGGGCCACTTCTTAAATCATTTGTTCTCTCCTTTTAATGAAAACCTCTCAGAGGAGGCCCCAATATGGGAGGCAGCCAAGATCTGCCTCATTAAAATGACATCAGGGCTCAGAGCCGGGCAGTGTACCCGGAGGACCTGGTTGCTGTCGTGGTGCAAAGGGATCCAGGATGTGGTTTTAAAGTTTTGACCTCATGCGCTATCTGGCAGTGGGGAGGTGCGAAGGAGAAGTGTCTGCTGCATAGGTGTAGACCTAGAAGACTGGGGCTGTGACCAATGGACCCCAATAAAGGGTTGTTTGGACTATTCTGCTGCATATAAACAGTAGCTGGTGCACATCCCCATCTGTTCCAGGCTGGGGTAAACTGAGATGGGTTAGCAGTTAAGAATGAGAATCCACTGGGGGTGCCTGGGTGGCTCAGTCGGTTAAGCGTCTGACTTCAGCTCAGCTCACGATCTCACGATTTTGTGAGTTTGAGCTCCGCGTCAGGCTCTGTGCTGACAGTGCAGAGTCTGCTTGGGATTCCCTCTCTCTCTGCCCCTCCCCTGCTCATGCTGTCTCTGTCTCTCTCAAAATAAATAAACTTAAAAAAAATTAAAAATGAGAACCCACTGTAGACTTGCACACCCAGGTTTGAATCCACTTCTGCTTATAGCTATGCAAGTTGTATAACTTCCCTAAGCTGCAACACGGGGATAAAAGTACTACTTACTTCAAGGGGACTATGAATCAGGGTCCCAGCAGGAGATAGTGCGTGCAAATTCAGTTGTTTGTGCAAAGGTCAATATGGGAGCTCTTCACAAAGGTATGGCTCCCTAAGAGCAGAGCAGTATTTGGGGGTAGGAAGAGTGAGGCCCGTTACCTCCTCTAGGACTAAGTGGGGTCAGGCAGGAGGTGGTTCACAGCACCTGGAGACAGAGAGGCAGTATGGAGAGGCACACCTGGAACCACTGAGACCTGTGGGTGAGCGTGGAGGCCCAGCCCCATCCCCTGTCCCCTCCCCCTCCTGCCAGCCTTCTGCTGATGCTCCCATCTGGCTGTACCTAACCAGGCCTGAAGGCAGGCAGCCCACAGATATAGCATCCATACAGGCTAGCCTCTGAGGCACAGAGAAGGGTGGGAAATGGATCTGGAGGGGAAGGTAGAAGATACCCAACTCTGAAGGGTTTGTAAGATGAAATGAGATAGTCTCTGGAAGGTGCTGGACAGTGACTGCTATGAAGCCAGGCGCTAGATAGCCAATGGCCGTGCTTCATCGTCATCATCAGCGCTATTATCATTATTGTTAGCATTGTTGTTATTGTTGAAGTTGCCCTCCCGGCCCTGCTGTCACCCAGACCTGGGTGACCCACACATGCATGGGGGCCGTGTCCCAGAGCCTCCAGCTTTTCCAGTGCGGTTCTTGGTCTCAGCATGTGCAGAGGGCTTTGAGGGGCCAGCCACACAAGCCCTGTACCATTATTACCCAGTATCACATCCTTCCTTTCCCCCACAGGGAGCCTCCACTCCTGAGTCCTGGCCCTCCGAGGAGGCCCCTGTGCCAAGTGCTACCGTGCCGCGAGGACCCGTTTCTGAAATGAAAGCCATGCCGTGGAATTGGACTTGCCTGCTCTCCCATCTCCTGATGGTGGGGATGGGCTCCTCCACTCTGCTCCCCCGGCAGCCACCCCCAGTGTCCCAGAAGCGGTCTTTTGTTACGTTCCGCGGGGAGCCAGCTGAGGGTTTCAATCACTTGGTGGTGGACGAGAGGACAGGGCACATTTATTTGGGGGCCGTCAACCGGATCTACAAGCTCTCCAGTGACCTGAAGGTCTTGGTGACCCACCAGACAGGGCCGGACGAGGACAACCCCAAGTGTTACCCACCCCGCATCGTCCAGACGTGCAATGAGCCCCTGACCACCACCAACAATGTCAACAAGATGCTCCTGATAGACTACAAGGAGAATAGGCTGATTGCCTGTGGGAGCCTGTATCAAGGCATCTGCAAGCTTCTCAGGCTGGAGGACCTCTTCAAGCTGGGGGAGCCTTTTCACAAAAAGGAACACTACCTGTCTGGAGTCAACGAGAGCGGCTCTGTCTTTGGAGTGATCGTCTCCTACAGCAACCTAGATGACAAGCTCTTCATCGCCACAGCAGTGGATGGGAAGCCAGAGTACTTCCCTACCATCTCCAGCCGGAAGCTGACCAAGAACTCAGAGGCGGACGGCATGTTCGCTTACGTCTTCCACGATGAGTTTGTGGCCTCGATGATTAAGATCCCTTCAGACACCTTCACTGTCATCCCTGACTTTGACATCTACTATGTCTATGGCTTCAGCAGTGGCAATTTTGTCTACTTTTTGACGCTTCAGCCTGAGATGGTGTCTCCACCAGGCTCCACCACAAAGGAGCAGGTCTATACATCCAAGCTTGTGAGGCTTTGCAAAGAGGACACCGCCTTCAACTCCTACGTGGAGGTGCCCATTGGCTGTGAGCGCGGCGGGGTGGAGTACCGCTTGCTGCAGGCCGCCTACCTATCCAAAGCCGGGGCTGTGCTCGCCCGGACCCTCGGAGTCCGTCCGGAGGACGACCTCCTGTTCACTGTCTTCTCCAAGGGCCAGAAACGGAAAATGAAATCCCTGGATGAGTCAGCCCTGTGCATCTTCATCTTGAAGCAGATCAACTATCGCATTAAGGAGCGACTGCAGTCCTGCTACCGGGGCGAGGGCACGCTGGACCTGGCCTGGCTTAAGGTGAAGGACATTCCCTGCAGCAGTGCGGTGAGTCAGGGGAGAGCCTGTGGGCTGGGATGGCGTGGCGTGGCAGGGGGACACTAGCCTGTGGTTTCCATGGGATGTGAATCACCCATCCCATTTTGCCAATGGGACAAACACATCTCTGGGTCTCACTGGACTCAGATCAGCACCAGCTCAAACATGCTATGGCTATGGCGCTGAGCTTATGAGAGCTGGAGCTAGAGCTGCAAGGTAGATTTCCTATTTGATGCTTTTCTCTATTCTGTATTAGCTCATGGCTCTAGGAGGGCATGCTCGAAATAGGTGGGGATTGTGTCATACAGATGTCACATACACCGGGCATTGTTAAGACAAGATTATTGTGTCCTGTGTTATAAGACACATATCCATCTTTCTTACTGACCATGCCAAAAATCACTTTACTGGGAACTTAGAATAAAACCATTACTGGGAGTAATGGAGCCAGTCATTCTATACTTGGGATAGATCTAGGGCTTCAGGAGCATCACGTTTTTGTCCCTTGAGGTTCCTTAGGAAATGGCTAAATGAGAGCAGTGGTATGGTGGGAGTCCAGGGAACACAGAGGTGAAAACAGAGCTTGCTGAGAAAACTGCATTTATGGGGCACCTGGATGGCTCAGTCGATTAAGTCTCTGACTCTTGGTTTTGGCTCAGGCCATGATCTCATGGTTTGTGAGATCGAGCCCCATGTCAGGCTCCATGCTGACAGTGCAGAGCCTGTTTGGGATTCTCTCTCTCTGCCCTTCCCCTGCTCACTCTCTCTCTCAAAATAAATAAACTTTAAAAAAAAAACTGCATGTATTAAGCATCTTCTGTGTGCACTGTTCCGTGGAAGAGATATGGCAAGCAGCCTCGGAACCCTACTGAGTGACAGAAGTGCTGAAGGAAACCAGAGAAAGTGGAGTATGAAGGACTAGTTTAGAAGACCTTTCCAGGGACACATGCAACAGGTGACCCATCCTCCTGCCTCTCCCAACCTAACTCACTCGTGATCCAGCTTGCTATGGCTTGACATCTGTTCATCTTTAAAATGATCCAGTTTTTTCTCATTGTTCCAGTGACTTAGAAGTCTGATTTATGACCATCTTCTATGCCCTGTGTCCCTCTCCTTCTCCCTCCTTTTTTTTTTTCATTCACTTAAAAACCTAGTTTGAGAAAAGTCTATCCTAGAGAGAAGAAAGGAGAATTCACACACAAGTGGAACATGTGTTTGCACGGATGTGATTCTTGACTGCTAGCCCAACTTTGGTGGGATTCCACATTAGTGAAATGTATTTTGATTGATTTAAAAAGTCTAAGTTTCCCTTCATGAAATATGGCTACTTGCCAAACCCATCTCAGAGGGTGCTGGCACCCAGGCAGCTTGTGAGGGGAGGGGCTGTTCTTGCGGGCTCTGGGACTTTGAGGTAGGGGTTGGGGAGATGGAGAAGAAGGAAGGGACTTGGCAAGGTTTGCCTTTGGTGCCCTAACATTTAGGCTCATGCTGTTTTCCACTGGTGAGTTTTCTAGGTAGTTGGGCTGAAACTAAAAGATGCCATTTATTTTAGATATCCTGAGAAGCCTAGTGTCACAAAGGAAATGAGAGAGTCCAGAGAAGGAAGCAACAAGTTGACAATCTTAGGCCAGGCCAGAGAGTGGAGGGGACTCCACTGTACCTGCTGAGCCTTAGTGGGTGGCATATCTTTGGGAGCCTTTGGTTTAAGGCAATGGCGGATTCACTCAATAGAGTCAATGAAACAAGACAGGTTTATGACCTGGGGGCCATGGACTTCTCCCAAATGCAGGCTATAAAGGCCAGGTGCTGTACTGTATGTACGTATATTACAGCCTCAAGCACAGCTCCCTGGGGAGACGCAGTAGGGAGCCGGCATGGAGAAGGAAGGCCCTTAGAGACCCTCTGATCTGTACCTTCATTCCGAGGCCCAACAAGGTGAATGAATTGCCCAAAGTCACATAGTTTGGGAAGGAATGGCAGACACAGCACTCGAGGAAAATTTCCTTTGCCTCTTGAGGAAAATCACACTTGCACACATGCATGCACACACATGCACACCTACACATGCATGTGTGCACACGTACAATAAATACCCCCACGAGCATGCACACAAGTATGCACACCCTGTGTTTGGAAGTGCAAGTCTATGCGGTGTGCTTACCAAACAGCTAGTTCTTTTGAGATCAGATGGGTTGGCTATTTTTTCCATAGATGCTTTTCTGTAGAAAACTGGCTCAGATTCTGTCTTTTTGGGTGATGCTTTTGGGAGTAGACTCAGCTGCAGGGATCAGCCTGGCTGCCCATGGGCAGGTGTTTGCCCCGCCCTTGCTCCCTGCCACAATACAAAAAGCAAAGTTCATCATGGAAGTCTGCAGAGCTGCGGGTCCTGAGACCGCATGGTGGCCTTGGAGAGAACAGAGGGACGACAGCTTTGCAAGACAAGCTAATGCCAGGGCTGGGAGTCATGGAGCCAGATAACAAGCTTTTGATTTTTCTTTGGGCTTTAATTAGCCCTTTCAAGTTCGAGGCAAGTTCAGGGCTGAGAGCAGAAAGGAGGAGGCCAGAAACTCCACACCAGGCTGGGCTGTCTCCCCAGCCAGTATAAAAGGCCACACCAGCTTGTAATGTCAAGTATCAGTTTCCTTTGATTCGGCCGACGCTCGGATTACTTTGCTCCAGTCCTCAGGTGCTCGGCTACAATTCATTTGGCCCCAGCTCAGACCACACATGCGCCCCGTGCCATCAGCCAGGCCAGGCTCCTGGGTCTCCCCAGGGAGGAGTCCTCGTGGGCACACCACTTGCAAACCCAGCTTGTCCTCCACCCATTCATGTGGCTGTTGGGTTCCTTTCCTCTCTCCCTTTCCTGCCTTGAGGCAATGATGGACTAGATGAATCTAGAGTTCTCTTTTGCCTGTGAGTCCAAGATTCCCTTGAGGCCTGCGAGGTGGGATGGAATCTCGGATGGCCTCTGTCCTGCAGCCTGCCCTTTGTAAGACCACGGTGGAGGGAAGCATAGGCCCAAGAGATTGACTTTTAAGACTTGTGGTTTGTAGGCTAAGGGATTCCCTAAGCTTCATCGTAATTACAATCCATAGAGCTTGAAAAGGTATGATTAGTGGTTCATTTTTTCAATTGAGACATAATTGACATACAACATCATGTTGGTTTCAGATGTACAACATGACAATTGAGTATTTGTATGTATTGCAAAGTGATTGCCACATGACGTCCAGTTATCTACACACAGTTACATGTTTTTTTTTTCTTGTGGTGCCACCTTTTAAGATCTATTCTCTCAGCCACTTTCAAATATACAATGCAGCATATCAACTATAGTCAATCATGCAGTACATTACATCCCCAGGACTTATTTATTTTATAGCTGGAAATTTGTACCTCTTGACCAGTGACTCATTTTTTTTGTGTTCCTGTTTTCCTAATTCCCTAAGGTAGACCACTCATCCCATGGTATTCTTCAGGGTTTTCCGGCCCTTCCCATTTCTTGGGATCCACATTCCTTCCCCTGAACTCAGGTCTCCCGAACTCAGAGCAGGAAGCAATATAAGCCCTGGGGCCTCTGGCCCCCTTATTATGTCCCAGCTGGTATTTTGCCTGTGTGCAGGGAAGACCAGGTGGAGTGGGAAGAAGACATCTGTGTGACTCAGCCTGCCATTCCATGGGGCATTCGTGGTGGGCCACAGCCTGGTGAGCAGAGGGGGAAGGGTTGTATGTGAGGAGGGTTCTCAGTCTGCAGGTCCCCAGAGAGCTCCCCATCGTTTTGATTTTATTCCAGGTGAATCAGGGAAGGGTGGCGGAGTCCACATCAGAGATAAGGGCTGGCAGGCTTGGAGTGGCCTCCTCACGGGGATGTAAATGCATGTCGCAAACACGAATCTCTGAGTGGGTGTTGGGTGTAGAGGCTGGCGAAGCAGCCCAGGTGTTTTCTGGTGCTTGTGGGAGATGGAAGCAGCTTCCCCCTTTGCCTTCTAGGCCATTCTTTTCCTGTGTCCTGGCTTTCCCAGCCTGCATGGGAAGAGGTATCCAAAGACAAATGGTCTGTTGTCTGAAAATTGCTTTACAGGTCTCAGGAGGGCACAGACAGAAGGAGGGTCCTAGAGGCATCAGCTGGGGGTCCCATTCTATCTTGGGACTCAGCAGACTGAAGACCGACCTGAGTCCCTTTGCTTCTGAGCGTTCAGGAGGGTTAATGCTAATGATGTAATCTCTGTTTCTGCTACTCAGCACGAGATGGTCTCTGTCTTTCCCTTTTGAAGGCTGTCATGTCACCCAGGCTCCCCAAACCCTCTGTCTACAGAGCACAAGATGACTGGCATGAGAAGCCCATTGTCTCTGGCTTCTGTCATGTGCCACGGCCCTAAGCAGGCCAAGGTGACAGTCCCCAGCCCTTTCCTGGGAGCCCTGACACTCCTGACCCAGAGTGGGGCAATGAGGCTGGGGAGTGTGCTGTTGTGGGCCAAAGCTCTTGTGTTCACATGGGCCGAGTGGCCTGGCCTCCCAGATCCCCCAAACAAGCTACCTATGCCTCCTCAACCTTTCTTCGGCCTTCTAGGGTAACCTCATGGAACACTAGCCCTTCCACCTTTGAATTAATTAATGAATCGATGAAACATTTGTCAGGCCCTTGGCTACGTGCTCCCTCCTGGTGGGTGCCAATCATGGAACGACATCGGTCTCCAGGGGCCCAGGATCCCAGGAGGGAGCTGCGCCTCAGCAGGTGATTATGGCCTGTGTGATGGGAACAATGGCTGTGGTCATGGGACAGGTCATTACTCATGCCACTAAGTCTTCCCTGAGTTTGGATCCAATTGAGAAGTGGACATAGGAGTCAGGCAATGTCAGCTTTAGTACTGATAAGGCCATATGGGGCAAAAATCAGCTTTTTAATCTTCCCCTTAAAACCTGAACTTCAAGTGACCTTCCAATACAAAAATGTAGGTGCTCAGGGCAGAAGCTATTATCCAGAATCATTGCCTCCCACCGGTCACATC